AATTTTTGCTTATGGATCTAATAACCAAAATTCAATCCGTGATCTAGAGAATATCTTTGTATTCCTCAATCATCTTATTTTTCAGTTGCTTAACATTTGTATTTTACCAAGTTCAACGTTAGCCCGATTAGTAAGCATTTATCTGTTTCGCTGTAACAATAAGATGTTGTTTGTAATAAGCAGTTTTTTTGCTTGGGGAATTGGACAAATTTTAGTCATCAATTGCTTGGAATTTTTAGTAGTCTGGATACAGAAAAATTTAGTAATCTGGATACATAAAAATAATGTTATTAGAAAGTACCTAGTCAGAAATTCTATCTTTTTTATTTTACTAAATTGTAGTTTTGGAAGTATAGTATGTATTCTAAGTATTCAGTCTTTAGGCAGAACACCCTTACCTATTCCTACTCAGAAATTTAGTGAGGTCTCAAAAATAGAACAAAGGGAAAAGGAAAGGTTGCAAAAGGAGGAAGAAAAAGACGTAGAAAAAAAAAAGAAATCCACTGAAGAAGATCCTTCCCTTTTTTCCGAAGAAAAGGGTATTTTGGAAAAAGAATTGGACTTGAAAGTAAACGAACCGGACTTGGAAGGATCTGATTCTGAATTGGAAATCCTTGAAAAATATGAAAATAAAGAACATATTGTGGCTCTTCTTTTTGATTATAAAAGATGGACTCGGCCATTTCGCTACATAAAAAATAATAGACTTGAACAAGCGGTAAGAAACGAAATGGCACAATATTTCTTTGACATACATAAAAGTGATGGAAAAGATAGAATATCTTTTACCCATCCGATAAGTTTATCAACGTTTTTTCAAATAATCAAAAAAAAGATACCCCTTTTATCATTAGAAAAAGATATTTCTAATAAATTGGACAATTTTTGGGTTTCTAGAAACAAACAAAAATTAAATTCTATAAAAATTGATTTGTTAAATCGAATTAAAAATCTTGACAAACCAGTATCAGTCCCAATACTAGAAATTGAAACAACCAAAACGCGATTATGTATACACAATGATGAGACTAGAAAAGAATACTTACCAGAAGAGTATGATCCCTTGTTAAATGGGCCTTCCCGCGGAAGACTAAAAAAAGATATAACGTTGATAAACGAGACTTCGATCAAAAAGTTGAGAGAGAAGGTTATGCTAAATAGACTTCATGCTTTATTGTTGATGTCTCCTTTTGAAAAAAAGGAAAAAAAAACCATTACAAGTTGGTGAGTTCTCAACTTTATCATCGAGTTTCAATTTAACGGATTCAGAACAACTAACAAAATTTTTAGTAAATGTAATTGAGACAGACGATAAAAAATATTCTGCAATAGAAAAAATAGGTAAAGAAGAGATTGGTAAAAAAGTCCCCGGATGGTCATACAAATTAATAACTGAATTGGAACAAATATCGTATTTTAGAAATCCACCAGATGATCATGATATTCGTTCAAGAAAAGGGATAAGTGTATTAATTTTTGAAGAGCCTAAGACTCTCAAAGATAAGACTACAAACAAAGATAAGAATACAAAAGAGACAAATATTCAAGCTATAAAATCCGACAATGATGAGAAAGATAAAAATATGAAAAAGAAAAAGGAAGATGAGGATAATAAGCTTTATTTGTTACGATATCCGCACCAATCTGATTTTCGCCAAGGCTTAATAAAAGACTCTATGCGAACTCAAAGACGTAAAATAGTTATTGAGGGACTTTTTAAAGCAAATGCGCATTCCCCTCTCTTTTTTGACAGGATGAGGAAAAAAAACCTTTTTTTCTATACCATACCTGGCTCAACTGAAACGACTTTTTATAAAATGGTCATCCAGAAACGAGTTCGGTATTTTAGAGTCTACAGAGGAAAAAAAAACAATAATAAAAAG